TAAACTGAAAATCAGTCATATTATTCGAATGAAACTAAACTGCAACTATTGTTGAATGCTAAATTTACTGCTAGAAGTTGAGAAGTGCAATATCTAACTCCTAGTGATAGTCTATTGCTTTAAAAAGATTTAATCAGAATATGTAAATATACAAACACCTCGATCATTGATTCTTAACAATTTTTTGGTAATGAAAGTTCAGATCCTTGATTGTTCAGCACTTATGACCAGTTCAGAGAGTTTTATTTGTTTTGATCAGAACAATACAGAATTTCTTTGATTTTAGGGCTGACAAACTTTTTCTGCGGATTTGCAGCTCACGAATTTCATATTTTTGATTCAAAAAGATCAGGAGAGTTAAATAAGAGATTTTGAATAAATTAAGATACCTTGCTACAAGAATTCGTCAAATTCGAGCACTCCCCAATATGATCAAAATTTTGCCCCAAAAAAGAGCAATTACTGCTATTCATTAATTTTGTTTGATCGTTCAGAATTGGAGACAAATTTAATGCTAAAAAAATTTTATATCACTTCACTGCAAAGAATTTCAGGATTCGAGATTTCAGGACTTTAATTTCTTCAATTTCAGGATTTTCCCTCTAAAGAATCAATGTAATTTTACTGCAGAGTTTAGAATTATCGCGTCGTAAAATAAAATTATCTCTTCTACAAACTTGGCTATTAATAGTGAAGGGTTAAAACTTGAAAAGATATAAAAGCGTATAGAAATTTGCAACTTCATACAAGCAAATAATTCAAGTGCAAGAAGTGTAATCTAAAAAGTTTGAAATTACATAAAGTAATTGAATGCCATAAAATTTTACCTTCTCCAATCCTCTCTGCTCTGTTTCTGCACTGTCGTTCATCTAGTAAAGCAGTACTGTTAAATTTTGGTTCATTGATTACATCGACATCAGAATCATCCGAAATTTCCATCGTGTTGTTAGCTAAAATGTAATATCTGCTTAAGTAAATACAACTTGAGGATAATGCATTGATTCTTTAGAGTAAAAACCAAATTTAAAAATATTACTAGCAGTAACTTTTGGTTCATATCTTTTAATTAGTATAACTTTTATCTCTTCTGCAACTATTAAATTATGAAGTAGAAACTTGCACATTAAAGATAATCACAACTTCTCAGAGAATATGCTGTTGAAATAAAGGAGAAACATAGCAGATTAACATTGAGATAATCTCAATCTACAGAAATCATTCCCATGTCATATTTTACATGTAGATATCATACAAAAGTTCAAGAAACCTCGATAACCATACGTAAATCCCTTCACGCGCAACCGCCAAAACTTATGTGACAGTTTGAAAATGTTAATGAAACTAGTCAACGTAACACAAACACAATGGTCTCTGTGCATTGCCATATTACACGCTTGCTTTTTGTGTTTGCATGTCAATTTCAGTTTTGTGTATTTAATATGTCAATGTGAACTTACTGGACTAAAGTAATGTATGTTCAATAGGAAGACTTACTTTTTAAATTACGTGGAGCAGTTCTACGGCTGTAGTTTGGTAATATATTGATTACTAAATGTACGTGGACTTATGATAATGTGCTTGCGTTAATTATAAAATGCCGAATGTATACTTATGATGAATATTGCTACTCCGTGTTTGTCTTTTTATGTTTATTTTAATTTATTAAGATTGTATAAAAGCACTTTTGAGGTGTAAATAATAAAGTAAGGAAAATAACGGAAGTAATTTCAAATTTGTTGGAAATGTAACACTTTCTGGTTACCAAAGTTAAAATACAAAATACAAATGGAATGTCCAATGCGGTATTTGGTGTTAAAAGTAAAGATCAAAAATATTAAAAGTATTATTTTCAGTGACAGAAGTAGGAACTGAGAGATTCTGTGAATTCAGAGATGCATCAGAGATTTGAGAAAAGTAAGATAGTGTAGTATGCTTGCATTATTTGTAGAGATGGATCTGTGTATGAGACAAACTTGAATAATTATAATTCTTCAGAATACTCATTTTGATCAAAATTGGCTGCAATGTAAAGATAGAGAAAAATGTGTTTCTGAATAATATGTGATGGTTGCAACTGTATTTAATTACTGAATTGATGGAAACAGAAACTAAATGACTGTATCAGTATATGTGCTAGTCTAGTCTATCCATTCATTCAATGCTTTCATTAGTAATGTAGAAAAAGTGATACTTAGAATCTTGTTATTTATAAAGCTTAATTTCTGAATGGTGTTGATTCTTTTTTTATATATATTTCTTAATCATTTGTTTTAGCTTTTATGCTCTTGTGTATTTTTTTTTGTTTGGTTGTTGATATTTCTGAAAAGATTTTTGATTCATTTTGCAATTTTCTCTAAGCTATTAGAATTCATATAAGTCTGAATTAAAAAACTATGAATTTACTCTTATAAATTTTTGTTAAGATTGTGATTATCAAAATCCAAAATTGTAGTGATGTTTAGGTTGAAAGGAATGTTATGTATCAAGCCATGAATGAAACTAACGGATCGACGATGGAAAGATCAAATTTTAAAGGTGATGACAAGTCTGAGATAACTGCAAATTTGGCCGAAGTTGATGTCTTGGATGAAAGGACTGTAAGTTAAGTTTTATATTTTTATATACAATGTATCATGATTGAGACAAGCTACATCAAGATTTATGTGTTGTGACTAGGATTAGTGATAGTTCCATATCAATAATTGTTCTTAAATTAGTTTTGATTTGCTTTGTTTCATTACCTGAAATTTTTTTAAAACTTTTTTTGTAACTACATCATAGTATTGAGTTTCTTTCAACTCTGTACAAGCATAGAAGCTAAAAATTTCATGAACTGTTTAACTTAAAAATTCAATTCACAAATCTGTAAACCAGATCATACAAAGTGAAGCAATTCATTGTCGAAATGTTCAAATTATATTAAACATATGTTGATGAAACAACGCATTTTTTAAAAAATTTTGTAGCACCGTACAGAAGAAATAAATGTTGATTTGTCTAGAGATAATAGTTTGATAGTGGACATTTCGGATGCTCTTTCGGAAAGAGACAAGGTTAATTTTGATTTCTTTCATTTGCACTAATTTGAAATCATTTTTGCTTGATAAAAAGAATAAAATTACAAAGCTCATAACTTCTGTTATTTTTCGAAAATTTAGTGAGAAATTAACAATTAAAAATAGTTCCAAATGATCTATTAAGCAATCATTAATAATGATTTAGGTAAAATACACGGTGCATACGAAAACGACACTTCCAGATTTTGTAAAAAATGAAATTAGCGTTGTTCGTGAACACGATGAATTTATTTGGTTGCATACATGTTTCGATGAAAATGAAGCATATGCTGGATTCATTGTGTGTTATATAATTATTAATTTCTTTGTCTGGACAATTTTTATCTTTATTTTCAATCGGCAATGTTTTTGAAAAACATGCAACTGTAACTAATATCATGGAAGAAAAAACATTTTCAGATCCCACCACCACCACCTCGGCCAGATTTTGATGCATCACGTGAAAAGCTTCAAAGATTAGGAGAAGGTGAATCAACGATGACTAAGGATGAATTTCTAAAAATGAAGCAAGAATTGGAACAGTAAGCGTATTTAATAAATTATTCATTATCTAAGCCTGAAGGTAAAAAAAAAACGTTTTTTTAATGTTTGCTTTTTGAGCTGTTCTTAAGATTCATTAAATTGGTAGTAATGGAATGCATGTTAAGTGTAATTTGTTTTTCTTGAGCTTATCACGTAATAAATTCATTCAGCTCTTTATTGTTTTCAGTAACCACTTTATTATTGTTAGTGTAATATGATTCAGGGAATACCTTGCGATATTTAAGAAAACTGTTGCAATGCACGAAGTGTTCTTGTGTCGTCTTGCAGCTCATCCAGTTTTCAGACATGATTCAAATTTTCGCATATTTCTTGAATACGAACAAGATGTAAGCGTTCATCGTATGCAATTAATTTTATTTTTATCAAGGCTTGAAGCTTCTTTTCAGCTGTGAAGATGTTGAAACTTTATCACTTTTCATTTTTTGCTAATTCTCCAGTAAATATCGATTATCATTTAGCGAAAATTAGGATTTACAATGCGAAATTTGTTTACATGCACTTGTAATTCACTCATTTACATCATTAATTAAGTGAATTTTACTCCTAAGTTTTTAGATTTTTTAGCCTATAATTTTTGTCTTAGCTATCAGTACGTGGTAAAAACAAGAAAGAAGTTGTTGGTTCATTTTGGAAACGATTAACCCAATCTGCTGATGAAGTATTGTTGTCCGGTCAGGTAGGTGAAAAAAAATCCACGGTTAATTCCTGTATCCAAACAAAGTAATATCATCAGATGATGAAACTTGAATTCGATTTGCAAGACGACGGTTATTGTTATCTCTTATATCTTAAAAACAACAATTATTGATTGATCAATAAATTGATCGTTTAATAGCAAAAAAAGATAAGAGATTTTAGAAGGTATTTATTGCAGAAAGATGTTGATGATTTCTTTGAACATGAACGAAATTATTTATTAGAATATCACAGCCATGTGAAAGAAGCTTCATCTAAATGTGACAGAATTTCACGACTGCGTAAAAGTTGGTTTATTATTTTTCAGTTGTTTGCTTATTTATTTGAGATGTACAAAAATAAATTGTCATTCGTTTCGATTCGTTGTTGATTTTTTGCGCTGTGTATTGTCACTTATTTGTTGGTGAATAATATTAGTTATTAAAATTATTCCTCTTACATTAAATGTTAATTTATGTGGTATACCCAGTTTTTTTAAAATTTGCAGTAGTGCAGTTTTTTTAATTGGATATTTTTCCTGTTGAAATATTTAGAATTTTTGATATTTGACAACTTTTTTTGGACATTTTAATAAGTGCATTTTTGTAAAAAAATATCAACTTTGAACTATGTGTTGCCATATGTGAAGTTTCTTGTCTTGAGATTTCAAAATTTGCGCAGTGATTTTTAGTACATTATGTAATTCCAAAAATTTCCTGTTAATAAATTTGGCATTTATCATCATTTCAATTTTTGTTTCTTTCTCGTTGTAAACTCTTCGAAGCGAAAATAATTATTTGCAAAAATTTACTAACAGGAGATTGCTATTTAACTAATTTTTACGCGATGATTCAGCTTTTTCCATGTTTTTCTATCCTTTACTTTTACGTTTTGTTTGTTTGTCATACTCTTTAAAGTTTGTGAGTACAGAAGGGGAGAGTGTTTTGAATATTTCAAAGGGAAGATCTTTTAGAAACTTAAACTTTGAATGTTCTACATTCAAAGATGATGTATTAACCTTGTATTCTGTATTAACTAAGTTTATAAAGTTGTTTTACATTTAAGCAATGTATGTCATTGCATTTGAAGAAAAGATGTCTCTTATAATTATTTAGAAATATGTCAAGATATTTGAATCAGATACTTCAGTATTAGTACTTTGATGGGATTATCATCGAACAATAATCATTATTTTGGCAAAACTGATATGGATCACATCTTTTGTATCATGAAAAGAGTCCGTGCTTTCTTGCGAAGAGAAATGGAAAAGGACAAAAATTTGTAAGGTTCTATTGCAAATAAAAGTAAGCAAAAAGAATAAATAATTGCTCTTTTCTCTTAACAGCTAGTTCTATCAGCATAATTATTGAAATTCTTGTAACATTGCGATGCTGAAAAGCAAATTTCTTGTGCTTTTTTTACTTTGAATTTCCATTATTGTACTGGTTGGTAAAAAGCCTAGTGAATGTTTGCTTAATGTGATTAAAATTGGAATTTTTTTTTTACTTTCAAATTACGATTCAACGAGCCATCTATAATTTTCCTTCAGTACTTAGCTGTTATTCATTCGCTTCAGTGTATTTTATTTTCCATTCTCAATGCATTTGGTTTTCTTTACAGTTAAGGGAAAAATTTGTTTCATTTGAACTCATTTTGTGTAATTAATGGATATTAGTTAAAAGCTATTGTACAGACCAAAGCTCATTTTTCTGATAAGTGTTTATTATTTAACTTCAAAATATGTATATTTTTTGTGACAAATTAGACTGCTAACTTCGCAGTCTGTAATATTGGAATTCTGAATTTACGAAAATTACTTTTATTTTGATATATTCAAGTGCTATATTTTATTATGGGCAATCATCATGAGTTATATAAGTTTGCTTATCACATTCTTGAGCTGTAAGCAATCAACTTAGCCTCTGTAGAATAAATGATAAATATAAGAATAATAATTGTAATTCATTATTATTTTATATTTAAATGCTAGACTGACTTATTCTTTAAAATGTTTAATGCAAAAAAAAAAATCAGTTTTTTGTTCAGCTTATAATTAATCTCACTATTAATCATTTGCGTGTTTTGTCCAAAATTCTTATTTTAATGCTGCAAATTTTTTTCTCTTTTTCAAATATTCAATTTTCTTGTGAATAAAAATGTCACAAATATTTTAAATTCTTTTTACAAAAAATATATGTATCAATAGTGAGCATTCACTTTGCTTTCATTTGAAGCTTTTTTTAATTTTTTTGAGATACATTTAAAGAAATTGGCAAATAACTTATGGAATGAGTTTTTTTTTTAAATATTTATTTGAAAAGTAAGCTCAAGTATGAAGGTATTGAATGTTATGAATCCTGGAGAATTCACAACTTATGATATGAAGTTGTGAATTCTCCAGGATTCATAACATATAAAATTGGTGAATTGCTTTTAATTTCGTTTAAATTGTTTATATAAGTATGTGTTTTTGGTATTTTATGTTAATTATTTGTGCTTATATATATATGTCTAGATGAAAATAGGACATACATTTCAGTAATGTTAATGGCAATAAGATAATGCTATTAATATTCTCTTGAGGTGATTTGTTTCATTTTTATTTCATATTTTTTGATATGCATTAAAATTTATTAATGGATAAGTTTAAATCTGAAGTTATTAGTAGATAATTTGAGATTTTTTGATGCATAAATGTGTTATTATTTGCAGTTTGTAATGATTTTCTTTATAAACATACTTTTTTAAACTTTTTGAAAATAGAAAATTGTTCTTTGATAAACATTAAATATACATATATAAAGAGTATTTTAGTCAAACTTCATCGATAAGTTGAGAATACTTTTGTGAAGTTTGTTTTCTGCGGTTTTGTTATTCTTCTTGATTCCTGTTGTTTTGTATTTCTCATTGCTACTATTGATTTTTTATGTTACTTCTGTTTCTTATAATAAGTAAGATAGTTGCTAGATGAAAAATGAAATGTGAGAATGTAAAAGAAATTTTAATTCTTAGAAAGTTTGAAGACATAAATTCGATATGATCAGTAAGGAGTTTTTTTGAAAGTAAAAAAAGTAAGAAAGTATAATTGCATTTCAGTGTTATTACTTCTTCAAAGTATTGTTGAATAATTCAAGCTTATTTTAGCAATTTTTTAAAGTTTAACTTGAACGTTGTTGAAAAACTGTCACGTAAATATGTCTTGCAAATGTACTGAATTATAGACTTGAATGATTTTGGTCAATGTCAAATTTGAATATTTGTATTTTTATGAAAATATTTATTTCATTGACAAATTGTGTGATATGTCAATGAAACAAATAAACGTTCATTATTTTCCAGTTTAAAATAAATCAGCCATTTATTTTTTTCGCACTTATTTCACTTGTTTACTTTGTTGCAAAGAAAAAGAGTAGATTTTATTTTTGTTTTTGATTTGCAAAAACTTTTCTCTTACAAATGAAACAAGTGATTACTATTTTAGTACTTGCTGGTGTGGAGTTGATTTTGAAAAAAATTGATAAAAAAATCATTTAATTTGAGTAGATTGTTGCTTTTAGAAGTCCTTACTAATTGTAAGTAGTCAAAAAAATACGATATTTAAGAGTTTAGGTAATGAAAGCAAGAATACTCGTTAGCTGATTTGTGGTGCACTGTAAATAAATATGTCTGAATTTAATAGAATATATTTCGTACTTTCAACCGTATTTTTAGCATGTTTTCATGTAGGAAAGACTATCAGTATTTTTTAGTAAAAGAAGTTTCATTGTTTTGTTTTAGAAAGAAATCTGGGATTATTTGAGCTTATGTAAAGATTTCAGAAAAAAATTCTTTCAGATGTAGCTGATTCCTATGCAAGGATTAGTTCATGCCTTGAAAGAATAGCTTTGCAAGAAAGTGATCGGGAGCTACAGAAAGCACTGTTGCAAAAAGCCGATACTTTTGAAAAGTTAAAAAAACATGAAGTAATTGAGTTCAATTCTACCACGCACGTATTTTATTATATTATTATTTGTGTTTGTATTTAATAATTTTGCTTATATATTTTTAATTTCTTTGCTAAGGATTATAAATTCGGATATACATTGTGTTTTATTAGCAGATCACAATGTTCTTAGTTTTTGTACTATAGAAGCATTCATTCATGCATGCGGATTAATTTATGCATATTTGTTAACTAGTTTTGAAGACTTTTGGTTTTTACAAAATAAAGATTATTTCAGAGTCGCGTAGCAACAGATGAAGAATTAAAATTGGGTGATACACTACGATATTATATGAAAGATACTGATGCTGCTAAGGTATTGTCTCAAGTGTCATAAAATAGTCAAGTAAAAGAATGAAAATTTGCATGGATAACAAGGTCAAAGATATTATTAGCAGTTATGATGCTATAATGTGATACCACAGAGTTAAGAATTAATAGGAAGATAAATTTTACTCATTGGAAATTAGTTCTATGTTTAATTTTCGTGAAGTATTTAGTATCTAATTCAAATATTTCGAAGTTAGTGTAATTATTTAATTGCTGCTGAAAATTTTCATTATAAATTACTCCATTTCTGTTGAAGTTGTAATTGTTATAATTTGTTTCAAATGAATCTTGTTGCTAATATAAGAATTCATAATATATTTGATTGTGTTCTAGTTATTGTGCATCGATTTATTCATGTTAGTTGTAAAGTCTTGATGAGATAAAAATTGTTGATGCTATTTTTTATGATGAATTTATAATAATAATGGATGTTTTGATTTCATGATCTTCTATATCGTCGAATGCGTTGTTTAGCGAATTATGAAGGAGCGAACAAGACATTGGAACGAGCAAGAGGACGTAATAAGGACATACCAAAAGTGAGTTTGTTTTAAGTGCTTTTCACGTTTTTGATATTGTGCATGATTGAAATAGTTTCTTTCATGACTTAGTTGATTTGTTTTTGCTTTTGTATAGTTTTTTTAATTAAATTTTTGATTTCCTGTATGAAAAATTTGAAATTTTTTATCCATTTCGAAGTATAATTATTAGTCCTTTGTATCAACTAATTAAAATAGATGTAGTTAGAATAGAATTAGAATAGATGTAGTTGCTTGTCTGATGTGATATTAGAATTTTTCAATTGTCTGAAATGAACATAAGAGTTCGCTTTGAGTAGGTAATTTGAATTTATCTTGAATTGTAATAAGTTTTTAGTATGAGTGGTCAGGTGTAAACGAAATTCAGTGGAAGTACTCATAAGCGATTTAGAGCTATTTACGCTCTGCATTAAATAAATGAAAGATATTTGTTTTGAAAAATAGATTTATTTAGGCAGAAGCAGAACAAAGTGAGGCATGTAAAAAATTTGAAGATATCAATGAAGTTGCAAGAGAAGAACTAATGGATTTGAAAAAAAGACGACTTTTTGCATTTAAAAAAAATCTTACTGATTTAGCAGATTATCAGATTAAACATGCCAAGGTAAATTTATTGTAAATATTGTTTGCATTATATTTGCATATTATTAATTTTGATGAGTAACAAAATCGTATCAGTACTTTCAATATTAATGAATAATAAATTTTTTTAAAACTGTTTTCTTAGTATAATAAAAACTCAATTTTTTAGTGTTTAATGACCAGAATTTTTGCATACTACATGATTTTCAATTTCAGTATGTGAAATACAAAAAAGGGATAATATTGCAAGGGTTATATTTTGTTACATTATTTTTGTAAGCAGAGATTTGTTGAAAAAAAGAACTAATGGATTTGAGAAAGAGACGAGTTTTTTGCGAAAATTTAAAAAATTATAATAATAATGATTGATTGCAAGAATTTTAAATAATTATAAAATTAATGTAATTAAAATGTGGATACAAAATTTGAATTTTTTTGATTGACGTCATTTATTTACAGGCTCAAATAGCATTACTAGAACAAGCATTGCGGAAACAAGAATAATGAACAGCGGTAACAGAGCAGTGGTACTAGTAGCATCAACTTTTTCTTGAATTTCGTTTCTGTCCTTGTTTTCTGTGTCTGATACATTCACTGATTAATATACTGTTTTTCATCGTACATTTTGTATTTATCATGTTTGATCGTTTCATAGTAATTATTATAATAATGATTATTATTATGATTACTAGAAGAAGAAGAAGAAACAGTGAGAGTTTTTCATTTCTATCTTTTATTTAGTGCAAAAATTTTGCTATGTGCTGAGAATTATTCATTATGATTAATTAGAAAAAGTTTATTTTATTGATTCATTCTTTCGTTTACGGAAGACAGGAATTTTACCTTGAAATTCTTTTCCTTATCTTATTTTTGTTTTTGCATATTGTGTTTGTTTTTCGAAAAAAGCATAATGATACTTTGTTGAAGTATTCAAATTACTGGATGATATATTGTGATATTAAGAAAAGGGTTATTTCTTTACTGTATTATTTTGTATATTTTTGTAGTTACAGTTTGCAAGTTTTTAGTTTAAATTTGGTAATAATAAAAGAAAGCTGAGATCATATTGTATTCGTAAATAAATGTACAACGTTAGGATATCGTTCTTAATATTTAACATTCATAAATGCTCATCTGGATTATGTGAGGAATGATAGATATTAATTGTTATGGGTTACTCACTGTGCTGCAGATATTATTACTTTTGTCGTTAAATTTTGCTTCAAATCTAAGTACTGATCATTGAGTCATGAATCAGGTGATTGATCATATTTTGAAGTCAGGTTTTGTTTGTTTTTGTTTTTGTTTTTGTTTTTTTCGATTCTATACCTGAGAATTTATTATAAGAAAGGAAGCAAATTGCATAGATTTTTTATAGTTTAAAATTGTAATATAACTTTTTTCTTCATATGAAGACTGTATGTGTATTTAGCTATGATTTAAGTTCTTATAATTTGTAGTGAAAAAATATGAACAAATTTGATGGCAGCAGAGAGAAAATTATTATTTTATTGTTGTAGTTTATAACTATCATTGTTTTTATTTTTATCGTCATTAATATGAATAGTAGTAATAGTAATTGTGATCATAATTGTTATTATTATTTTATTATTATTATTTATTGTTATTATGCAGTTATTATTAGCTAAGTCATTTTTAGTACTCGCAGTAGTAACAAGATTAAAGAATGAAAGTAGAATTAGAAAAGACTGAAGGAATGATTAACAAAAGAGGTCAAGGTAGGGAAAGATATTCAACCTTAGTAACTCTAAACAGAGCTTGATCTCGATAGCAATAACTTTATCTCTTATTATTGTCACTGATTATTACTATTGTTAGCAGTAATGTTACTGTTATCGTTATGGTTAGTGTCTTGTTTTGACTGCTTCTGATTCTCTCGAATTTATAATTGTGGAGGAAGGCATTATTGTATTGATCAATGGATTAATCGATAGATGGACTAAGTTAAAAGTTAGTGAATTGATTAAATTTGGTTAGTTTATTTATTGAGATTGGTTTGGTGATAGATGGGCAGTTAGGAAGTAGCGCTGCAAGTTTATTAGCATACTTATTTACTACTATATTTAGCAGTACAGAGTGTGGCAATAACTATTTCTACTTTTGATACAATTTTGTTTTGTATTTTAAAATAGATTGAACAATTATTATAGTAGTCATACATTTGTTTAAAAATAGAAATAACTGCTTTTGCTCAATTTAAATTTTTTGTAATTTGAGTGTTTAATAATATATCTCTGTAAATTTTTGTATTACTTGCAGCTCGTTACTGTTTTGTCTCTAATTGATGTTATTGTTTTTATGCTCATTCCCTCCACTTTGATTGGCTTCTACTTGAGTCATTTTGATAATTTTCATCAATTTGCCTATTTTTAACTTTTTGCAATCTTTGACAAATTTGTAAAAGTATAAAGATTTAGCACATTTGAAGAGTAGTTTTTCGATTAGAGTATGGTTATCAGTTTCATTACTTATGTATTTTTTAAAGAATGTTTTTAATTCCCAGTAAAAACTGAAGAGCTAAATAGGATATTTAGAACTTAGTTGCTGCAAATTTTTTAATTAATTAATTGATTAAAATACATTAATTTATTACTGTTGTCTGCAATTCAGATTTTTTAAATTTCGGTAGTGAAATTCTTTTTTTTGATTCTGATTTTGATTAAAACAAATTTTTATGGTATTATTGGCGTAAAGTATAAAGAATTTTTGTTATTTTATGAAATATTTTGTTTCGATCTCTTAATCGTAATCTCACTCATTGTCTGAGAAAATGCGCATTTTGTCTTTCTATTTAGCTACAAATGATTTGTTTGTTGAGATTCTTGTTTTTATTCGCTATAAGAATTCTAGAAATTGAATTTATATAAATTTAAATATTTTTAGGATCTCTAATCTTTTTTTTGGTGTTTTATCGAGTTCTGCAGTGGCGAAATTTGAAAATGAGTAACGCAAACCCTTCAGAAGATGGTGCAAGCAGTAATATCTGGCCTAATAAGAAGGAAGATTATGAATTACAAGATTCTATTGGTGTTGGTGCAACAGCAACTGTTTACAAAGTTTGAGTCTTTTTCAATATGAAATTGATATAATATTGTTTTTCTTTCTTAGTTAGATTTGGAAAACGATTAATGTTACTGGCAATTTTAATTACTTTGAGTTGCAAATCTTTTCTTAGTAGTTTTTCATTATCTTAAAAATAAAGGGATTCTGTGAGTGCTAAGTTTTTCATTTTCTACTTTTTGTTCTGTTTCATCATTGCAGAATTTCAATTTCTAGGCATTATGCATTCCGCGAAATGAATTGTGCGCTATTAAATGCATCAATTTGGAAAAATGTCAAACTTCTGTTGATGAACTTTTTCATGAAATCAACGTAAGTAGAACTTTTCATAATTAGCAACAACTTAATGTAAAAGTTACTGTAAAAGTTATATTAAAAATGATGTCAAGTTTATTGATTGAAATATATGTGCATGTGTTTTATGCAATACGCCGAATTGTTCTTGTTATATTTTCTGTCATGAGAAATCATATGAATGTTAAATGATTGAATTTAAATTCAGGCAATGGCATTATGTATGCATCCAAATGTTGTGATGTATCACACATCATTTGTCGTTGACGAGGAATTGTGGGTCGTTATGCGACTGCTCAATTGTGGCAGCATGCTTGATATTTTGAAACGACGTGTGAAGGTCTTCATTGTATAAATATTTAAATATTATACATTTAAAGAAAACTATCTAACTCTCAGATTTATTTGAAATAACTTAATAGAGAAATATGAAATTAAGTGCATAAGTTGCATCTATGTATTAATTAGTTCCTAATCTGTTTAGGAATATTGAGTCTTTATCTCAGTTTAAAGCAATAAACTCTGTAAATTGAAACTATAATCTGATTAATATTAAGTACTGAGATATATTTTGTACTTTTAAAATATAATGAAAAGAAATGTTTGGTAGATAATTATAATATACTGAGTGACGCTTCATATTTATATTTTTAGTCAATGGGAAAGGAGGCAGCTTCATCTGGTGTTTTAGATGAAGTAACAATTGCTACTGTTCTGAAAGAAGTATTGCGGGGATTGGAATACTTTCACAGTAGTGGCCAGATACATCGTGATATCAAAGTAAGCGCATTTGTCAGTATTGTTTACAAATTTATTCTAAAGAAACGAAAAAATATTAAAGCTTCAAAACACACTTTGTTGGAGAGAATTTGAAAGATTTTTCAAAATTCTCCGGTTTTTCAATTTTTACTTGATTTTAAGACATTTAGTTTGAAAAATTGTCAGTAGCTAACACAGACACAAGCTTATTTGTTCTTCATGTGGTAACTTCTATAAAAAATTAATATCGAAAGATATTTCAGGCCGGAAACATATTAATCGCCGATGATGGTACTGTTCAGATAGCTGATTTTGGAGTATCCGGATGGTTGGCTGCTAGTCAGGGAGATTTATCAAGACAAGTTTGTTAAAACTATCTTTGTTTTAACTTTTCTAATAAATTTTTAGGTGAAAACGTGAAATATACCTTGATGCATTCAACGAATGTAAAAGTCACATATTACAGAAAGTGCGACATACATTTGTTGGAACACCTTGTTGGATGGCTCCAGAAGTTATGGAGCAAGTTTCGGGATATGATTTTAAAGCTGATATCTGGAGCTTTGGAATTTTAGCTATTGAATTAGCCACTGGGACAGCGCCATATCATAAATTCCCTCCGATGAAAGTCAGTTTTGCCTTATTACTTAATCTTCTGTTTTTCAATGCTGATATTGTTCATAAATTTTTGTTACACCTTTACAACTTTCAGGTCTTGATGTTAACGTTGCAAAATGATCCACCAAATTTAGATACAAATGCTGAAAAGAAAGACCAGTATAAAGCATATGGCAAAAGCTTTCGACATGTTATAAAAGATTGTCTGCAGGTCTCATAGTTTCTATGTTTATTTGGAAGGTATTAACTGTCTTGCTTGCGCAACATTTCGAAATAGCATAAAAATGATAACTATTTGAACGCCTTCCAGAAAGACCCATCAAAGCGACCAACGGCAAGCGAACTTCTGAAGTACTCTTTTTTCAAGAAGGCCAAAGACAAAAAGTATTTGGTACATGCCTTAATTGAAAATTTGGCATCAATGCCGTTGCCTTCACATCACCAAGCTGATTTGCCCAAAAAGGTAGTATGCAGTCCAAAAGTGATAATTTTTACACATCGGAGATTGAAATTTAGTTTTTTACTTGAAGGAAGTGTGATGTTTTTAGGTAAATAATTGAAAAAAATGTTCCGACTTTTTTTTAACATACATTGTGTTACCAGATGTGGAAGATTGAAACCTTGGCAGCATAGATTTTTTTATTAATTTAGAAGAAAAATACGTATGTTTGGATTATTATAAATTTTCAACCTGTAATTTTCTGCAAATTCAAATTCACTGTTATAGCGGCATAATGACCTTTTATAGGAGCAGTTTGCAACAGTTTCGTTAGCAACACTGAAAAATTTTCAAGACAGTAAGTTGGTGGGAATTACGAAAAATCTGGTACACTTAAGTAGCTAGTTAAAACTAGTCAATGTAAATCTCTGAGTAATAGATCTTTTAGGTAACTTCTGGCAAATTGAAAAAGAATTCAGAAGGTAATTGGGAATTTGAGGTGGAAGATAGTGGCTCAGATGATGATGCAGAAAAGATCGAAAAATTAGATATTCCAACAGCCTCTAGTGCTGCAGCGTCTAGTGCAGATGCAATAAATTTGGTTCCGAGTTTTCGCCATTTTGATTTATAAAAATAATTGAACCATTTGATAACGTATATTAATGAAAAGATCATAATTCGACTTATTTTTATGTGATTACGATTGCTACTAACTCACCTTTCTACATTAATTTTTAAAAGACCGGGAAAACGAAATTGTGGTAAATAAATTCTTTTTTGTAATTACTGCAAGGAATTCTTGCTGTACTAAAATGTTTTTAAAAATTTAGGTACTGCGTGTAAGGAATACGCAAAAAGAGCTGAATGATATCAAGTTTGATTACACACCATCTGTAGATACGGTCGAAGGTATAGCTCATGAATTAGTCGCAGCTGAGTTGATCGATGGTCATGATCTTGTTGTTGTAGCAGCAAACCTAAAAAAACTTGTAGATGCGGCATTAGAAAAAAGTGAAAAAAAGTCAGTCACTTTTGCTTTAAGCTCAACAACACCACAGGAGATACCAGATGAGCGTGCTCTAGTTGGTTTTGCACAGCTATCACTGGCTGATTCGAGTTCATGTCAAAGCGACTGAATACTTATTAAGTAACTTTGTAATTCAGGATCAAATTACATACCGAACATCTTTAAATCTCTTTACTGTGATTCCAAATTTTTGTCGATTTCTATGCTTTTACGTCTTCAATGAAAGATGTTTCGAAAATTGCATTACAAATCTGCTTGAAGTCCGTGAGTATAAGGTCATAGTGTAGCTGAGAAAGATTGGAATACTGATATTGTGAAGATATTTATGAGCTGTAAAAAGTGATAAATTTGCACAGTGCGCTGGATTTTGAACCGGGTCTTTAAACAGAAGATTCTTTAGAAATTGTGCTGTAAAAATGTTTCTTAGCCCTTTCCAGCTGTAGGTAATAACGAGCAGCTTTGTTCATACAGTACAATTCAAATTGTGATGTTTAATGTTTCAGGGACCGTCGTTTTCTTTGTTTGTGTTGAATAGCAATTCTAGATAGATATATGTATTCAATTGGAAATTAAGTTCTCATTGGTAAATTGAGCACAGCATTAAGATAGGTATTGATCGCAGCTCACTTATCTCTTTGAGCAGCTGTGATACTTTCTGCAGTATTATATAATACTTTTTTTGAACAGTTCTTTCGATCAGTTTTCATCATTTTGTGCGTTCATTGTTACTTCAAACTGATGTTTAGCGTGTTAGCTATCTGTATTTATTCAAGTTTCACAGTTAATCAGTGATTCTTGGTAAATTTCTGAACGATTTAGTACACTAAATTATTTCATGCTAAGTATTGATGGTTTTGATGATATTCAAATTTTGAGGGCAATAGCCCTCAATGCCAGTCATAGTTAGCCTTGTTATGTTTGCGTCCTTTTCAATCAAAGTAATTTACCAGTAGGAGCGAAGATCTAGACAGATATATGATTTGCGGACTTATTATTATGTATTTCTCGTAATGTTTATATTTTCTTTTTCTTATCAGTACTTCCTAATGTAGCATCAAAACAAGCTTAAGCTAATAACTATATTTGATAATTGGTTATTATTGGGGTTATGACTGAGAAGCAAAATTTATTTTCTGGAAGCTTTATTGGTGATGGAAACGATTATTGTTGTTCACGTACTAAGCGCTTATGCGTTTACTTGTTGCACATCGTAATAGATCGTCCGTTGTGATCGTCCGTTGAAAACGTGTGCAACAAGGTGAATAAGTTTATTGTATTTGCTCAGTCTTATAAACAATTCTCAGCGGTTATTCGCATATATGTATATGGCTCCTTACTTTTATTTGTTGTAGTTCTTACTTTTCATTTACTATTTATTAATAAAAAGTACAATGTAAGAGTAATTGTTGCTTATTACTGAGTTTGAAGTAGTGAAGTTTTGAAAGCAAATAGATGAGTGCTGAAGTGAGGCTAATCAACATAAGCCGCTGAAGACAATTATGCGAACATCACTAGTTCAAATGTTATGATATGTGTCCGTGTTGACTGAGTATTATTGACTGCTAGGGTGATCGTAACATCGATTACTAGAGATGCTGTTTTTTGAACTGCTGCCAGGAGGAGTGCGACAAGATCAATATGACAAGAATGGAGATAGTTAAGGGATTTTGTGAAGTTGAAAGTGGCTCTGAGAGTTTAGTGTTATGGGAGTTTCACATGCTACTTACGTAACTATCAAGTATTATGAATTCTTCAAATTCTTTATTGCAATATGAAGGGTTTGCTCGGCACTATTTCGTCTGAACACACAACGCGCTGTGCCGCGCGTTGCGGTCGATGAGTAATAAAGGTCTGGAGAGAGGCAGTAGTGGGTAGTGCATTGATTTGTCATTTAAGGGTTGGTTGTATAGTATTGGGAGAGGATTGTGGTTTCTATCGTGGATTACGTTTCACAGCTGATACGTGATATACCTTTAATACGTGGTACTAGGGGGTTGTTTGAACTTTGGTTTGGGTTTTACTCGGGAATCTCGAAGAAAATCGAGTTGTTTCTGATAGTTTAGCGATTTAATCACGTCTGTTCGAGGATTGCTCATTACTTGTCACGACGAACTCAGTGTTTTTCAGTTACGTTTATTGAGATGGCGTATTATATTGAGACAATTGCACCTGAAAACTTTGATGCACATACGTCTTCATCATCCTCATGTTCATCTGATCCTGAGGATGATGGGCGTGTTGATGGCTCATTGTCTCCTCGTTTATTACTGACACTAGCTATTCAGCGGCGTCGTGTAACATACAACAGCAAAGAACGTGACTTACGACGAGAGTTACTGCATACTAGTGTGATTCAGTCGTTGTGCAAGTATCTTGGTGAACGCCGAGCCAGACGGCGTCAACAACGCCGCCTTTCGAGACGTAGCCGAAGAAGGAGCAATCGAACTAATCGGAAACGTGAGTACTCGTCGTCCTGTGGGTTGGAGACATACTCCGGAGTTAGTGCCCACCCGGGGGTCGTCGTGGATAATTATCCGAATTATATGGATTTAGCTGCTAATGAAGCAGAAAGTGGAGGTATAGAAAGTGGGACTAAGCAGTTTGTTGGTTGTAACGACAGTTTGTTGAGTTTGTACCAAGATAACTGTGTTCAGTTGCCTGGTTCGAATGGTGTGAAAGCTGACAATTCATTGGTCGTGTTACCGCCGCCACCACCGCCACCGATTTTGCCAACACCACCGGCTTCCAAGAAAGCTCGTTGCAGTTATCCAGACTCAGATCCTTTTGGTTTGGACAAATTATTCGATGAATTGTATGGCACTCCAACCATTTCATCAGGTTATTATTTTTATATTTATTTCTCCTTTAAATGATCCGAATTGGTAGCTTGTGACATGTTTCTGTTAATGCCATTTAGATGAGGGATAGTCGAAAATGTGCGTAAGTTGGGACATTGTGGGTGTGTAGTATTAAATAGTATTAGGGCGCTGTTCTGGTCTCTGATATTATTTCAGTTTTCAAATGTTTTGCGTTCAAAATTAGTAACCTCACATCGTTCGATGTGTGATGCTGAACGCGATGAAACGTGACCTCGGCCAAATAGACTGGTGCAGGATACTGTGTCTTCTGAGCAGTAATATTGAATTTCACCCAAGTTTATTCTAAGTTTAATTACTTTAGTTCGTGCTTTACTTTCAAACAACAGTAGGCGGCAAAATTAGTGTTTACATCGATTTGCAGTTTTTGATTGTCAATACATTTACTTTCAGGTTGCCGTGACAGACGAAATGATGTGAGCAATCATTCTCATGAAAGTGCTATTACGGTTGGATATACATAATAGCAACTTCGGACTTGCAAGAGATCAGGATTGAGGAAAGTCAACCGCATGATGTACTGAAAATTGGATAGGTCTAGAATCGGAACCTTAGTGATCTCCATTTGTATTATATGTCAGCTCAATTTGTTGTTTTTAGGTTGAAGTGCCGTAGTTAGAAGGGCTTGGAAATCATTCTGCACACACACAGGTTTTTTAATTCCCATACCAAGTTCTGAAAATTTGTCACCGACCCCGTCCTTATGTGATGCCTGAATTTTCATTTTATGTCATTGTTGTATTGTTCTACCTCAAATATATAAAAGTTTCGTCTAAGTTTTAACTTCAAAACTGTGCTAGCACATATTTAGGTTATTCATGGAAAACGTTTGGGTCACTAACGACGCTGGTGTTGGTTACCAGTAGAAATATTGTTAGGAAGTTGTCACCGATATTCAAGTGTTGCGCATGGTTTGCAAGAATCTATTTATTTATTTGTGAGACAGGTCTTTACTTATTTTTTCAGTTTGAATGTGGAATGTTTGGACGAGGAATTGTTAAGATTGCACTGTGTGGTTGTCGGCGGCGACGTCGCATGATGATTTAAGGCAAGGTGTATGTTTCGTTCAAAAGTCCTAAACAATTTAGTGTAGAAGCTAGTTTGTATTATTCCAGATGATCTGCTTCAAGTTGGGGTTTATTGTACCATGTTGAGTACTGTTAGTCAAAAAGTACCAGTAATAATCAAGTATTTCATGTGGACTTACTAATTGGTTGGTTGACATAGGCGATAAAAGCATGTTCAATATTAGGTTTGTATTAGGCATTAATTGACAGTATTAATAATAGCGTGTGGGAGTCAAATTAAATCTTAAAGTGTAGAGTCAGGGTGATGTGTGGTGTAAGTTTTCATTCACTTTTCCATCCAATTTATATTGTTCGTAGCTTAGTTCTTTTTATGTATAGAGGCAACGAATAGTAGAGAGGGACAGTGGCAGCTTCTGTATCGTCAGTTTCACCTCGCTTTTCGTGCATTTTGGTAAGCATTCATATGATGTGGCTCTAAAAATTGTTTGGTCGAAATGTCAATTTTTAAAATGGAATAAAAGTGATTAATCATGCTATTAACTAGCGCTATTGTCATGCATTCCATGTTAAAGTGTTACTGTTTTCATGTATGTTTTACCCATTCATGCATTATTTTCTAATTTTATGCGACAAGTTTAGTGAGAGAAGGTTGCCTGAACAGTTTTCTGAAGTAGACGTGAGAGGGTGGAGTTAGAAATGTGAAAAAAGGGATGAAATAACATGTAATCAAGCTTCCCAATCAAATTTGTACTGAGAGTTGGGTGCAATTACTGTGATTGTGAAAGCATTCATTAGTATTATGCATACGAAATGGACATCTCAGAGGCAGTGTAGTTACAGTACTGTCATGATGTATATATGGTCAATGTTCTGGCCTACCTGATCTGCATTGTTCGTCAAGTACTTTTATAAAGCATGTTGTAATTGCAGTTGTGAGTACTATGCGAATCCTCGTTCATTGCTTTTCGGTATTGTTTAAAGCTGTCATAAGTAATCCATCGTATGAAGTACACAATTTGGGGTTTGGGACTGCGCACCTCAATGGTTTCTTTGTAGACATAGCCAGAGAGAGTTGTAGCAAGCTGAGAATAACTTTGGCTTAATTAGCTCCTTCAGTTGCTCTGATTCTGAACAGACTCATTCTCTATGGACATGCGCTGTATTCTTATCAGTTTAGATGAGGAACTTGTCGTTCAAAACAAAACTTCAGAAGAGTTTTAGCAAGTTGCAGAACTCCTGTGATGCTCCCAAATGATATCACGGATCGTAATACTTCACGAAATGCTTGTAAGAGACAATTTCGAAAAAAAATCCGAGCACAATTACTGAATGAGTTACAGCAGTTACAGTGATGAGAAAAAAAATGAAACATAAAACAAGCAGGTTGGGACATTTGTTTGACCTTAAGAATCTGGCTCTACACAATTATTCCATGTATGCAGTAGATCAGTATAATTCGCAGATAAAAGATAAATATGTTTGATACTACAGCTAAACGTATAAAAACCAATACACCGTTAAGGATCGATTCAATAAAGGTAGGGAAGATGCATCTTCACTTACATCACAGCAAATCAATATGATACACCGGAAATTTCTTGATATTCACGGTCCAAAGACTCGCTGCCATTTTGATCATGTCTGATTTTATGTTGAAGTTCTGTGGACAATGAAGTTCTGTAACGTTTTTATCGCTATATGGTTATTGCAGACAAAGTATGTAAAATGAGATGAAAGAAGTCCTAGAAAATTAAGTAATTACATTTATATCACGGAATAAGTACCCACTTGAATTGCAAATGCTTTGCAATAAAACACCAAAACTGCATCTGTCACTTCAAATACTGCGTACAATGAACATAATGAAATTAAGACATTATTGAAGGAGAAATTGATACCAATATATCGTTACTTAAAGACCTGGGTCCCTACCATTACGTTAATGATACTATGTTACCGATTTTGCATAATAATGATAAAAAACTGAAGTCAAAAGTCATAAAAACTGCATACTTTCAAGGGTGTAACTCTGTCAATCAGATTGAGACCGCAAGAACGTAAAAGAATGAGAGGCGTACTACTCGTCAAATAAAGTCTGTTCAACCAGTCACAGGCAACTTGTACTGGTACATTTCTTCGCTGTCCTTCTGCGTCATAATCAGATAAATATGTAATCGAACCTGGAATCCCTTTCGTAACATGTGAAGTGACACTAATATTTCTGCGAGAGCATGAATATATATTTTTACAGTGACGGTTGAGGATATTTACTAGAAAAAGAATACTCACCTAGATCCCCACCATCAATTACGCATTTTTCTAAACATTTCAGCAAAACTTTCACATCACTCCATCCAAGATTTACTCCCTGTCCAGCTAAGGGATGCGTACGATGAGCTGCATCACTTAAAATGCTTGAGATATATATTTTTTTTAGTCATTCAACATGGATGTGATTTCAAAATTATTTAAGATATGTTATAAAACAAGGATACAAACTAACCCTATGAGTGCTACTCTTGAGGAAATATAGCTATGACTATAACCAAAACCTAGTGGAAATGCAGCACGAGTATCTCCAATCACGGATATGACTTCTGGAACTGTAAATTTAGGTCTTTCATTGATTCCAAATAAGCCACCCAAAACCTGATCAGCTACTGACAAAAACTGATTTGTTATAAGGTCTTGATGAACATCAGTAGTCTGAAAACCTTTATTAAAATAGCAATAAAAATTTGTGAAAGAACGAAAAACAATTGTCATTAATGATTACTAAAAATTCATTTAGTTGATCAACAAACTGTTCCGGAGGTAACGAAAGTAATTCCAAAGCATGTTTTGGGTTGGTCGACCATGTAACTGAACTCATATTCTCAGTAAGAGGTAGCAGAGCCACAGGGCCATTTGGTGTGAATCTTTGCCAAGCAACACTATTATTTTCTGACTAAAACTGTAATATGAATACAAATGTTTTTGTCAAAATAACGCAATGGGAAGCGAAAAAAATAATTACTTTTTGATATTCGTAATAAAATAAGATAAGATTAGCAAGCAAATGAAAATTAAATCTGTAATATGCCTCAGATCTCATTGTTTCATACCCTTTTAATTCAATTTTCAAATAATGTATATACTCATTTTTGTCCCAAAACAACAGTCAACTTCATAAACGAAAATGAAATATGAATACATATAACAACAAAAAACCGACAGCCTGCACTTGCAGATTTGCAACAACAGCCGTCTGTCCATATTCCCAATTAGTATATTTGAAATTGAGTACATTTCTTACATGACTTCGAGCACCATCTGCACCTATCTATAATACCTTCTCACTAAATAAATTTTTTTCTGACCATTACAAATGATCAATATTTAGCCCGTAGTTTTCTTACTCCTGAAAAACTTGCTAGTTTCATACTCACTATTTTATTAAAGAATGCGAACATCTTTTTAGCACTACTATATTACTACATAATAACTTTAAAGGTTGGACGACATACTAAATACTAACAATAAGAGAAGTTTTCAACTTTGTTCCATCATCCAAAACAATTGTAGCAAATTCGTTCAAGCCAAGAGGAACTCTGAAATTAGTTTTATGAACTGGGAAATATATTCAGCAGCACTTTTCGGATATAAACCGACATAGATAAAAATTGAAATTCTTGAACTTGCCAATCTGAATCGAACACTTACTTGCATTCGGTGACTTTTGCTTTCATCTTGACTGTGACATTGGGGCAATTCTGTTTAATACGATTTGCAAGAAATCCAATAATCGCATTATTTTCCACAATATAAGCAATTTCATTGGATGGATTAGGTTGAAGAAATCCTATTGATGAAGACGAACAACTATCCATTACCTGAATCAGCTTCAATCCAGTCTATCAATGGGATTCAATTTAAATTAAAGCGAAATAGTGTAATTCAATAAAACACGAAACATTCAACAAATAAGTGCGCAAAAACTACCTTTTGTGCTTTTGACAGTCCGGTAATTCAATATAATGCTAGATTAAAAACAGTTTAGTCATCTGGTTCTGATATAATTTTACA